TTGTGTATATGTACTTATATACAGATTTGGGCTCTACTTGGAATAACGGTTCTAAATGAAACTACGCAGAAAGTTAATCCCAAACAGAGCCTCATTACGTCCTGCCCAACAAACATTTAAAAGCTGTAACTCGGGAAATATAAGGAACGGAAAGTATGAGGAAAATAAGGGAATTATAGTACTTACCGATATTTAAATCCTTTATACGTTAAAATTTTGGCAAATAGTGCCAGAATATCTGTTCTTTCTCGCTGTGACGCCATTGGAACTCTGCCAGATAAGATGCGAAGAGTTGACAGCGGAACAGTTGACAGCGGAATCTTCGTTTAAGCAGCATCCATAGCCCCTCAATGGTTTGTGTGTGGACCTGATTGTCTGTGCTGTCAACAAAATTAGTTCCATGCACTACTACTGCGTGATCGTAGATGCCATGTTTCAATTTTCCGATGTTCCTGTAGCCTCGCCAAGTGCAAGTGTCAGTCACAATTCTGGTTCCGGGCAACACGTGAGGAGTTATGACGCGTTCTAATGTCGGCTCTTCTTTCGCCGACTATAGTGCCACCTCCGAGAGTATCCCCCGCGCCGCTACGAGCGGCGCGGAAGGAACTAACCTAGATGGCTAGGACTCACGAGCAAATACATTGGAGGAAGCTGCAGGAGCTGCGGTAGCTGCTGCTCGTGAGTCCCAGCCATCTAGTTTAGCCCCCTAAATACTCGGGGGATACTCTCGGAGGTGGCACTATAGTCGGCGAAAAGTGATCGGCAACTTACATATAACTCGGGCCCTGCGGTAGGATAGCGCTATCGGGAGTATTGTTGTGTGTCGGTAATTTTTTTCATATGCAGTTAATCCTTGTTTTGCCGCCATCTAATCGCTGTAAAAAATCTGTTGCCTTCCGCGAAACTGTCGTGCGCAGTTAATACTACTTTTGACACGCTTGAATCGCCGCAAAAGAAATGCGACTTTTACATATGTGTGAGGCTCTGTTTGGGTTAACTGTCTGCGTAGTGAGGCTCTGTTTGGGTTAATTTTCTGCGTAGTTCATTTAGAACCGTTATTCCAAGTAGAGCCCAGATTTCGTTATAGCCTTCCTTATGTTCACGTGACAGTTCTCTTGCTCTAAGATCTGTCCCACCGCTACTATCACAATGTTTGGCGCTCCTTTGAATCATTCCCCAAAATGGCGGCATGCCACATTCTGGCCATAAAATATCCAAAAATATCCGAACGACGGTGTTCACATATATCTAAAATACGGACTTTCTGCCAAGGAACAAATCGCGGCAAAACTAGGATTACTTGACAATCAATATCAACATTTGCACATGGTACTAGTAGCAGACGATAAATACCGACCGTTGACAACAATTTCGAGCGTTTCTGCAGACGATACTAGCAGACGATATTAACGATCGTTGACCAATTTCGAGACATTACAGACGATGAAAGCCGTTTAGCAATACTGTGTTGTTCCCATTGGAGGATTTAGCAGTGGTAGATGTCAGACTTGTTGGCATGCGCCAAACGCGATTAAACTCATCGCCGAGCGTATCCCCCGGGCCGCTACGCGCGGCACGGATGGAGGCTAAACTAGGTGCCTGGGACTCACGAGTACAGTAATTGGAGGAAGTTGCAGGAGATGCGGTAGCTGCCGCTCGTGAGTCCCAGCCATCTAGTTTAGCCCCCGGCGAGGCACACTCGCAGAAGCAGGTCGGCAAGCAACATATTGCTGAGACCCTGTCAGAGCATTTGTTTCGTTATCCGGAGCCGGCACATATATTTTTATTAGAACTGACCCGCATGCGGATATTTTTTGATATTTTATAGCCAGAAATTGGCCAATTTAGCTCTCTTTTGAACGCCATCATATTAAAGCCGCCATTTTGGGGAACGATTCAAAGGAGAACCCAATGTTTATATTATTTTACCTAGCACTGTGCCTTGGACAACTCTGTCGGTACCACAGAACACAAATAGTGGCTCTCCGAACTTCTACCCGATATTATGGCGGCTAAACAAATACCCTAACAGGGCCTCAGTCCTATGCAGAAAGCGGACTTATGCGACGAAAACATCGCTGCAAAACGAAGATCGGCTCCGAATAATAAAACAAATTAACAGGGTCTCAGTGATATGTTAATTGCGGACCTGTTTCTGGGACTATGCCGCATCGCCAACAGTATCCCCCGCGCCGCATGTAGCGGCATGGATGGGGGGCTAAACTAGATGGCTGGGACTCACGAGCAGCAGCTAACACATCTCCTGCAACATCCTCCAGTTTATTTGCTCGTGAGTCCCAGGCATCTAATTTAGATCCCCATCCGTGCCGCGCACAGCGGCTTGGGCGATACTGTCTGCGGTGAGTTTAACCTCGTTTTGCGCATGCCGAAAAGTGTGAGGGCAACAAGGACGCTAATCTGCGTAGGAGCGTGTGGTCTCCCTGCCATGTCGCTTTTATCATCTATAATGTTACGTGTTTTGAAATTGTCAATGGTTGCTATTATCGTCTGCTATTATCGTCTGCAGAAATGCTCTAAATTGTCAACAGTCGCTAGCATCATCTGCAGTGTTGTGTCTCTTGAAATTGTCAAGTAATCCTAGTTTTGCCGCGATGTGTTCGTCACAGAAAGTTCGCATTTTACACACAACTGAGCCCCTGTTAGGGTATTTGTTTGGTCGCCATAATATCGGTTAGAAGTTCATAGGAGAGCCCAAATAGTTATAAATCAATACGAGATGATCCCCATGTTGGTTCTGGTGAGCCATTTTTTGGGGGGGGGGGGGGGTGGGTGGGGGGATACACGCCTGTTGTAAAAGTAAACTAATTAGGGGTATTCCCTTAGAGGTCGTGAGATGAGTGCATCTGCCTTTGTGGCCAGGAATCAACTGTCTGCTTACAAATAAACCAGATCTCCAAATCTATGCATGTGCATGCAGAAATCAAGTTCTGGAACAAGACTAAAGTCCAGAAGTGACTGAACAACCAAAACTTTCCACCTGTATTTACAGCCAGTGGGAAGAAGCACAAAATCTATCTGTAACCATTAGTATTTTTATGTTCTTAATCTAAGCAGTCAGTATTGGTATTATTCAGCATGTAAGCTGGGTGCATTGCTATTGTAATCACGTAATACACTGTACGCTGACTAGTTACTAGATTATTCAGGGTTAAAAGCAGACATAGGTTTTCACTATATTCTATCATGGCAGTATTGTTAAGAAAACCAGCAGTGATTTTACTACAACCACAGGCCATATGACAGTGGAAATGTTAAGAGTAACAATGCCATTTTCTGGGTTTGATTCGCAAAACTACTTATAAAGTACAAAGCTCAGGTGTGTTTTGCAAATATGAGGCAAGATTTGTGCTCAAACACTGGATTGTATCACTGTAGAGTTCCAAGTTGTTTTAAAATTACATATACATGTTTTCAAATTAGTTAATTCACAAAGACAGCGTATAAACACCATAAAGAGAGGAAATCATAATTCTTTAGCTGCATTACGAGAAGAGGAGAAGTATCTAACATGTTCACTTCAGATTATCATCACTGCAGTCCATCTACGTTGGATCTCCTTTGAAGTATATTACAACCAATTGTCTTCTGATGTTGATGATGATTCTCCTCACACAGTTTGTATGTTGTTCCTTCCTGGCCACATTGAATTTCAATCCAAATGATTAATTCTAGCTATGGAGGCTTATTCATTCATTCATTTGAAAGAAAGTTTAAAAAAAAATTTTTCCACCTAGCTTCTCCAAGGGCATTAATAATGCAGCTCAGTCCATTAGTTTACCTTTTGATGTAGTGCAGGTGCTGGCCGGGCTATCTGCCCTTTTAGTGCCGCAACATTTGCATATCCTTGGGTAAAGTTTATCATCAAGTGCCTTGCCTACTGCCGTGATCTCTAACAGCACTTATCAGTTCATATGCTGATGTCTTTCCATGCTGTGGCAAATGGCTGTCAAGAATCTCCTCTCATTGTCTTCCTCTATCTCTCAAACGGCTGTCAAGAATCTCCTCTCATTGTCTTTCTCTATCTCTCAAACGGCTGTCAAGAATCTCCTCTCATTGTCTTTCTCTATCTCTCAAACGGCTGTCAAGAATCTCCTCTCATTGTCTTCCTCTATCTCTCAAACGGCTGTCAAGAGTCTCCTCTCAATGTCTTTCTCTATCTCTCAAACGGCTGTCAAGAATCTCCTCTCAATGTCTTTCTCTATCTCTCAAACGGCTGTCAAGAATCTCCTCTCAATGTCTTCCTCTATCTCTCAAACAGCTGTCAAGAATCTCCTCTCCTTGTCTTCCTCTATCTCTCAAACGGCTGTCAAAAATCTCCTCTCCTTGTCTTCCTCTATCTCTCAAACGGCTGTCAAAAATCTCCTCTCAATGTCTTTCTCTATCTCTCAAACGGCTGTCAAGAATCTCCTCTCAATGTCTTTCTCTATCTCTCAAACAGTTGTCAAGAATCTCCTTTCATTGTCTTCCTCTATCTCTCTAACGGCTGTCAAAAATCTCCTCTCATTGTCTTCCTCTATCTCTCAAACGGCTGTCAAAAATCTCCTCTCATTGTCTTTCTCTATCTCTCAAACAACTGTCAAGAATCTCCTCTCATTGTCTTTCTCTATCTCTCAAACGGCTGTCAAGAATCTCCTCTCATTGTCTTCCTCTATCTCTCAAACGGCTGTCAAGAATCTCCTCTCATTGTCTTCCTCTATCTCTCAAACAACTGTCAAGAATCTCCTCTCATTGTCTTCCTCTATCTCTCAAACGACTGTCAAAAATCTCCTCTCATTGTCTTCCTCTATCTCTCCTCCCATAAAACTGTGATAATTGAGATATCTAATTGTTGGTGTGGTTAACAAGATATGTAGAACTAAGTAAATGATTCATAGAGTACAAAATGACACAAATGGTATATCATTACCAAACCTCAGTGAAGCTAACTTCCTACACTAAATGTGAAGAAGTCTTTTGTACTCTTGTTTTTGTGGACTTAGATGGAGTTTGCTGTGGAAATGAGGAGTCCATGCTGTACTGGCAAAGTTAAAAAAGCCTTGGAAGGAGTTAAAGGTAAAACAATGTCTTCACTTGCTGTGCTGTTGTTCTTCTGTTTTATGTTTGCATCACAGCATCAGATTGATCAGCATTTTTATAACATTTCTTGCATAAAAAAATGATCAAAATAAATTATCTGCAACAGGGTGAAGAAAAAATTTGAAATCTAATAGTGTTTTATTCAAGACTACTTGACATATAATGGGAGCTAACCCACTTTTAGGGAATTAGATCTGTGGCACAAATCCTTAAATAGCATGAGGTGAAGCTACATGGCTGTTTGCTGACAAGTGTCTATCATCAATCATGACCACATGAGGGAAAGCTACATGACTGTTTGCTTACAAGTGTCTATCATCAGTCATGACCACATGAGGAAAAGCCACATGACTGTTTGCTGACAAGTGTCTATCATCAGTCATGACCACATGAGGGAAAGCTACATGACTGTTTGCTGACAAGTGTCTATCATCAGTCATGACCACTTAAGGTGAAGCTACATGGCTGTTTGCTGACAAGTGTCTATCATCAGTCATGACCACATAAGGGGAAGCTACATGACTGTTTGCTGACAAGAGTCTATCATCAGTCATGACCAGATGAGGGGAAGCTACATGACTGTTTGCTGACAAGTGTCTATCATCAGTCATGCCCACATGAGGGGAAGCTACATGACTGTTTGCTTACAAGTGTCTATCATCAGTCATGACCACATGAGGGGAAGCTACATGACTGTTTGCTTACAAGTGTCTATCATCAGTCATGACTACATGACTGTTTGCTTACAAGTGTCTATCATCAGTCATGACCACATGAGGGGAAGCTACATGACTGTTTGCTGACAAGTGTCTATCATCAGTCATGCCTACATGAGGAAAAGCTACATGACTGTTTGCTTACAAGTGTCTATCATCAGTCATGGCCACTTGAGGGAAAGCTACATGACTGTTTGCTTACAAGTGTGTATCATCAGTCATGCCTACACGAGGGAAAGCTACATGACTGTTTGCTGACAAGTAGTCATGCCCACATGAGGGGAAGCTACATGACTGTTTGCTTACAAGTGTCTATCATCAGTCATGCCCACTTGAGGGGAAGCTACATGACTGTTTGCTTACAAGTGTCTATCATCAGTCATGCCCACTTGAGGGGAAGCTACATGACTGTTTGCTTACAAGTGTCTATCATCAGTCATGCCCACTTGAGGGGAAGCTACATGACTGTTTGCTTACAAGTGTCTATCATCAGTCATGCCCACTTGAGGGGAAGCTACATGACTGTTTGCTTACAAGTGTCTATCATCAGTCATGCCCACTTGAGGGGAAGCTACATGACTGTTTGCTTACAAGTGTCTATCATCAGTCATGGCCACTTGAGGGAAAGCTACATGACTGTTTGCTTACAAGTGTCTATCATCAGTCATGACCACAGCGTGCAGTGCCTAACAAGAATGGCACATTGTGACATTTGAGATTGACTAGCACTTGGGTTATTGACTGTTCAAATTATTAGCCGGTCACCCTGAGATAGCCATTTTTCTCAACTTTACAAGTTTTTGGGTATGATGTCTTTGGGCAGTAGCAAATGTGCCTGTATAACAGCTTTAGTACTGGTTGCACTGCATGGTATGTAGACTTGGACTTGCTGGGTGACATTATATTTACAGAAAATTCCCATTTGGAGATATCTGAAGGTGAAACCAAATCTGTTTGTTTGGATAATTTTAATGTCAAAATAAACATGTGAACTTCTTCTGTATTCTAACCCCCAAAGGAGCATAGGCCCTCAATTAACTAACGCCAAGTCATTCTATCCTTCGCTATCGCATGCAGCTCCCTATCTTTTTAACTTCACTCTCTAGATCCCTTCTCCTTGTGTTTTTGGGTCTTCCTTTTATTCAACGCCCCTGTGGGCTCCAGTGCAAAGACATTCCCTGTTAGTGCTGTCAAAAGCTTTTTCATAGTCTATGAATCCAATGTAAAGGGGTCAATTCATTTTAATGGTTTGCTGTTTTATTATACGTAATGTGGCTGTCTGGTCAGTACATGATCTGTCTGGCCGAAAACCTGCCTGTTTATGTGGTGATGTCACTTTACTTTCTGTGACTGTCATTAAAACCTACCTATTCTTAGTTAAAGGGAAGGAAAGCAGTTATTTCTTTGCTCCATTTGTATTAGGTGATTTCCCTTAAGATATAAAATGAAACCCATCATCTTGCTCCAAATAGTGATTTGACAAATCCATCTTTGATAGTGACCTGTGGGCTGTGATTTTGCAAGAGCTAGCATGGTTGCATGTCATGTCTGCTAGGTGTTCATAGGTTTCAACTTCCTAGATTATTATAAAAACTTACCAAGACTCCAAATTTCTTTTGCTTTTTCTTCTCTTTCTCTAGTTTCTTAGGTAAGAGTTTAAGAGAATTAAAACAGAGCACATCTTTTTAAGAAATGTTGATTTATAAAAAAAGGTAAGTTTTAAAGATTTTTACAATGCAAAAGGGTAACAATAATTCACTTATCTTTTAATCACATAACTGTTTGCAGAAAAAAAATTCAAATATAGATTGACAAAACCATTATATATAGAAGACGATTATGAACCTTTATATTACTATGATTTCATTAAAATAGGTTTCATTTACTCCTGACATTATGAACTTTAAACCGACTTTGTCAGTCGTTCTTCTTCTCTGATTACTAGTTTTTGCTCTGTCTCTCCTTCACCTTCTTTCTTCTGTCTACTATTCCTGTTTACGGCTGCTGAGAGAATGTACATTAGAGCACTGTCATCAATGGACATTAGAGCACCGTCATCAATGGACATTAGAGCACTGTCATCAATGGACATAAGAGCACTGTCATCAATGGACATTAGAGCACTGTCATCAATTGACATTAGAGCACTGTCATCAATGGACATTAGAGCACTGTCATCAATGGACATTAGAGCACTGTCATCAATGGACATAAGAGCACTGTCATCAGAGCTTCCCTGAAGATTATCTAAGAGACTTGAGTTCCTCTTCTTTCTGCTTCTGTCTTTCATCACCCAGTGGAGCATAGACTCATAGGTAGCTCCATCCTAGCCTTTTCAGGATGAGGTAGCCAATCTTTTGTCCAGCCTCCTTAGTCACCACTTTGTGACATGCATGATGGGATACAGTTAGACTGTTCTTTGCTTTGCTTTGTGACATACTCTTGGTAAGCGGATAGCCATTCTGCAGAGAGAGATTGAGCCATGTGGGAGAAAACCTGGCAGTGAAGTCAGTCCTCTCAACTGTAACCTTTAACTTGATGTATCTTCACATTTGTTCAGATCTAGCTGTAAATTCTATTGTGGATACATGATTGTCCAGTCAGTGACAAGATCTAGCTGTAAATCTTATTGTGGATACATGACTGTCCAGTCAGTGACAAGATCTAGCTGTAAATCTTATTGTGGATACATGACTGTCCAGTCAGTGACAAGATCTTGCTGATTGTTTTTCTGCCGCAGGAATTAGATCTATCGATGTAGATCTAGCTACACAGAGACTAGTCATTGAAGGTGATGTTTTAGCAGACACTGTCAGCGGTACAATAGAACAACAGACTGGCATGGCAGCGGTGCTTCTTGGACATGGTTCAGCTGGTATGTTTTCATGCATTTCAGTAAATGCTGTAGTGTGCTTCATTGTTTTGATAATTGATAGATTTGGGAAATACACAGTGTTCACATTATGCATTTCTTGAGTGTCAGTTTCTCATAGGGTAATCTAACATAGTTTAAACATTCAAAGTTCAGAACGTTTGAACAAAATTTCAGGTAGAGATCTGAAGATAAAATAAACTGACTTTGTTTTCCATGAAAAATTTAACATAACCTTACAAATGAAAACATAAATTGATATCAGCTTCCCCGTGAATACAACTTGCAGAGTAAGAACAGTCAACTCAACATCACAACTTGCAGAGTAAGAACAGTCAACTCAACGTCACAACTTGCAGAGTAAGAACAGTCAAGAATGCTACTTACAGAAAGAGATCAGTCAGTACAAGGGCTTATCAGGCATTATGTGAACAGTCAATACCAAGACAGCTTACAAAATGAGACCAGTCATCACAAGCACATGTGTAACTGTCTGTGAATTCTGGTCCACTGGGATTTTGTTGAGGGCTAGCAGCACTGACTCAGACAGCACAGGCTCAGACAGCACAGGCTCAGACAGCACAGGCTCAGACAGCCCAGGCTCAGACAGCACAGATGATGGGCTGGTAACATGAAGTGGGGATGAGGGAAGTGTGGCTTAGAGCAACTGTTTTTACCTGTGTTGTCTTCACATTCATTTGTGTTCATATTCATATATCAGGATTTCATCATATCAGACCAGTTGTACCCCAGTATTGTATCATCTTAAAATTAACTGGATGTTTTCCACATGAGTTTCCTTAAAATTAACAGAGGATTCGGTAGATGAGTTATCATTCCAGCATTAGATACACAGAAATTGTATTCAAATTAAATTTGGGGTTCTGTTACACTAATATGTTTACCTTGACGGTTTTATTCAGAAATTTTGTTGTTGCTGAACTTTGTTTAAAAAGTAATTTATGCTGCTGATTCAACAATCCTGACTGTTTTGTAGATCTGTGCTGATTTAAACAAACTGAGAAACAATATATATACTAGCGGGTTTCATTTTTTTTTTTTTAAACCTTAAATGTAAACATATTCTTTAAAAAAAAGTACATCATTTTTTAAAAATGTAGTCACCAATGCAAGTCCTCCAGTATCAGTAAATTGTTTGGATTTCTGTAGACATTTTTTTTCTTGGTTTCATGTTTAACCACTTATGCATCACCTGCTGTACCTCTTCATTGGACCAAAAAGTATTTCCCCATTGAGTTGTCCCAACAGGTGGACATCACTTGGGTCTAGGTCTGGCGAGTCCTTGAGTTGTCCCAACAGGTGGAAAACACTTAGGGCTAGGTCTGGCGAGTCCTTGAGTTGTCCCAACAGGTGGAAAACACTTGGGGCTAGGTCTGGCGAGTCCTTGAGTTGTCCCAACAGGTGGACATCACTTGGGTCTAGGTCTGGCGAGTCCTTGAGTTGTCCCAACAGGTGGAAAACACTTAAGGCTAGGACTGGCGAGTCCTTGAGTTGTCCCAACAGGTGGAAACCACTTGGGTCTAGGTCTGGCGAGTCCTTGAGTTGTCCCAACAGGTGGAAAACACTTAAGGCTAGGACTGGCGAGTCCTTGAGTTGTCCCAACAGGTGGAAACCACTTGGGTCTAGGTCTGGCAAGTCCTAGGTTGTGGTACACACTGAAAGATGTCTTCAATGGTTTTGACTGATGCAGAGGTGGAGCATTGTCAGGTTGCAAAAGGACACTTGAACTCATCCTGGTCATTTGGATTTGATTGCAAGTCGAAGACAGTTCCTGAGAAGTTCTGTATGTGTTTTACTGGTGTCAGTTTTCCTTCTTGGCATGTAGTGCTCTAACATAACACCCTGTTCATCCCAAAATAAAATCAGCAAAACCTCCTCTGGAGATGGCTGCATGTGAATCATCTTTGGTTTCGGTGAGGATGGATTGCACCATTCTTTGCTCATTCCCTTTGTTTCTGTTTCGTGGTTGTGAACCCAGGATTCATCTCCAGTTACAGTTCTTGATAGGAAACCATCACCTTCTGCTTCAAAGCACCACATAAGTTTTTGACAAGCATCAGTGCATCAGTGTTTCACTTCTAGAGTCAGTCGCTGTCACACCCACCTTGCAGACATTTGATGGTGGTGTAGCACATTATGTTGGTCAGTTGGTGTCTTCCTCAACTGCAGTCAGTCTCTAGTGACTGCAATCAACTCTGGTGTGACTGCCCTGTGTGTCTGACCCAATTGTGAATGGTCTATCACAGAAGTCATGCAGTTTTGAGATTTCCTACTCCACTCATACACTTGCTAGCCTGACAGACCTGCAACAGCATACTGAACCTTCATTCACCAATGAATTTCTTTAAGTTGCACCCCTACACTGATTAAAAATGGATTATAGAACTCCACTCTTTTTTTGGTGCATATCTGGCCATTTTGAAACCGCATTAAGGTGACACCATGTTTGCACCATTTTGTCACATGCTTAATACAGTTGACATCATAACAGCAGTGGTGACAGGTTTCAGGACAGTGCTGAAAGGTTTCAGAACAGTGCTGACAGGTTTCAGGACAGTGCTGACAGGTTTCAGGGCAGTGCTGACAGGTTTCAGAACAGTGCTGAATGGTTTCAGGGCAGTGCTGACAGGTTTCAGGGCAGTGCTGACAGGTTTCAGAACAGTGCTGAATGGTTTCAGGGCAGTGCTGACAGGTTTCAGGACAATGCTAACAGGTTTCAGGACAGTGCTGACAGGTTTCAGGACAATGCTGACAGGTTTTAGGACAGTGGCATGGTTACTGTAATTTCTGTCATGCTTTTAAGGTTTTTATTTGAAGCCCTCTGGAATGTACCAGTGTGTGTGTTTGAAGTTGTTTTATAGAACGATATTATGGTTAGTCTCTGGATATACAGGTCAGTGGTGTGACCTGATGTAGCTGTGGCACAGACTATTGTAAACTTTAGCCTAGCTTCATTTACCAGTAGGCCTAGGTTTGGGTCCCTGATACCCAATGTGAGGATCCAACAGTGGGGATAAGCCTAGCAATCAGAATTTGCAGCTAAAGATTTAGAGGTCGACTTTTATACCGGGTTGATTCATATGTTTATGGTACATTTTCCCTCTAGTCTTCTACAGAAGAATCATTCTGTATGTATTTCAGCAGAACTCCTTTTTATAACACTGCAACACAGATGTGAGTTTTTGTTTTCTCCAGCACAAAACCTTGGTGCAGGTGTTGCAGCTATCAGCATAGGAAACTCAGGTGTAAAAGGTTTGCTGCGGTTTGTTCAAGTGGATGCAGGCACCTGTTTTGTGGAGGGGAGTATTGATAAACTGCCCAGTTCACAACCTGTGTTTCTGACAGTCCATGAAACTGGCGACGTGTCTGATGGATGCAATAGCTGTGGACCGCTTTACAAGTCTGAGGGCGATAGCAATAATGTAAGTGTTTTTGTTGAATGTTGTTAAATGTAGGTGACCACGACATGTTGAATGTAGGTGATCAGGGAATGTAATTTAATGTAGGTGATCAAGGAATGTTATTTAATGTAGGTCACAAGGGAATGTTGTTGAATGTAGGTGATCAGGGAATGTAATTTAATGTAGGTGATCAAGGAATGTTATTTAATGTAGGTCACAAGGGAATGTTGTTGAATGTAGGTGATCAGGGAATGTAATTTAATGTAGGTGATCAAGGAATGTTATTTAATGTAGGTCACAAGGGAATGTTGTTGAATGTAGGTGATTAGGGAATGTTGTTGAATGTAGGTGATCAAGAAATGTTATTTAATGTAGGGGACCAGCGAATATTGTTTAAATTAGGTGACCAGGGAATGATTTCTAATATAGGTGATCAAGGCATATTGTTTAGTGTAGGTGATCAGGAAATTTTGTTTAATGTAGGTGCTCAGGGAATGTTTTTTATAGGTAACCTGGGAATGATTAATGTAGTAACAGGGACATGTTTAAGGTAGGAAAATGTTTCTTGGGATAACAGGAAAGTATTTCTCATGTAAGTTGGTCCACGGAGGCCACAGTAGATATAAGAATGTGACTGATTTTTTCCATGATTTGATGAGGCTCCTTAAATTGTTGATTTATTTATGCAGACATTCAGTGGGTTTATCAAAGAATTGACTCCAGACATGGACAAGAGGGCAGAGTTCCGGGCAGCCTTATCGAATGTGAGACTGTCTGACATCATTGGTCACTGTGTTGTGGTACATCAGGGAAATCATCAAGATGTCGAGCAAGGCCAAAGTGAAAGGTACAAGTAGTCTGTTCTGTTTATCTCTGGATACAGTCCTTAAGTGATTGGTGGGGGTGTATTTAGCATCTGGAGTTTAGGGGTTATGGTAGCATTTGCATAATTCCTTTTTGTTATTAAGTATCAAATCCATAGAAAATAATCTTTCAGTGCAGAAAGTAAACCATCACCTTAGTATCGCCTGCTTGCTAGAGAAGAGGCAGGGTGTGTCCTGAAGGAGTACACATGCCTGGTGCCACCCCTCCTGCTAACCGGACGTTATAGATTCTGCATATCCCACAATCATTCAGCCAATAGGCACCTAAATCCACTATAGGTGTAGGGTTTTTTGTTTTAATTATATTTGTCTCCTCTAGATCCGCTGTGATTTGTGCCTCTTCACACACACCGGTTTTGAACGTAAAAGGGATTTCTGGATCAAGGGACTTTCGACCAATGTGTGACCCTTTCACCCTGTAGTACAAGTACTTCTAGGGCTAGACCAAGCTCTTAAGGGTGTGCTCCACTGCTTGAGAGATCGGATCTCTACAGCCCTGAATCTCTCTGACCCTTGTGGTGCAAAAACAATCAAGTGCGGCCATATTTGCATATAATTCATCCATGTTGCTAAGATCAATGACGTATACGGGTCACAGAAACATCAGACAAGTAATAATTACAATATCTAACAAACTCATCAACTTCCCTGCCACATACAGCGGTGGAACACATTGCCATAATGTGTTTGAACTGGTAAATGGTTTCTTTTAGGCAATGAAAACTGATACAATATGTGATTGTGATCTTCTGGCCTTGAAATAATCAGGATAACTAATGCAGCTCTGCCGGAAGTGGAACTCCTAATATACAATCAGCTGCTGGTGTATTCGACATTATTTGCTTGCTGCTGAAAATGTTGACGGAACACTTATGGGAGTGTCCCAAGTGATGTTATGTTGATTCTTAATTCAGCATTCGACAGCATTCAACATTTGTAAATAATTTCAACATTCCTGGTTCAGTTTGGCATCAGTTTGCTATGCATTGATTATGAGAACTGTTTGAACGTCAACCATTCACAGAAAGCAGCAGCAAACACCGAACATGAAATGGGCCTAGTGAAACCACAAAGAGCTTGCAAATGCTGGGGTTTATTCGAGACGTCTTGTAAAGGATATTGCAACTACCTTGAGTCTGAGTGTGTATGCCACTCGAGTCTGATCCCGTCTGCCAGAGCTCACTTTAGTAAATGCCAAGATTTGTAATTGAAGATTTAGTTGGAAGGAACATGAAAAATTAGAGGATTGAGATCTGTTGCACAATTAATTAAAGAACAGGGAAAAGTTTGCTAATCTAACAACAATGCTTTGGTACCAACTACCCCATTGACGAGCAATAAGAAGACTACACCAAACAATGGAGCGATGACATTAAGAACAACTTTAGTGATTAGTGAGGTTATCATTATAGCACTCCAGACAGATCCTTTGGTGCTCCAAACTCCTCCTCAGAAGCTCCACAAGCATAAAATGACTGCAGCTTCAGACTGCACCCCCATCTCCATCAGCCAAAACATGAATACAGAGTCATGCATGCCCTTTGTCGGATTCGTCTTTTATGATAACAGCCATAGAAAGAGCACAGCCTTACATCTCTGCCAACACTTCACTGAAGTAACAGACAAACAGAAGATCCTTACATCTCTGCCAACACTTCACTGAAGTAACAGACAAACAGAAGATCCTTACATCTCTGCCAACACTTCACTGAAGTAACAGACAAACAGAAGATCCTTACATCTCTGCCAACACTTCACTGAAGTAACGGACAAAAAGAAGATCCTTACATCTCTGCCAACACTTCACTGAAGTAACGGACAAACAGAAGATCCTTACATCTCTGCCAACACTTCACTGAAGTAACGGACAAACAGAAGATCCTTACATCTCTGCCAACACTTCACTGAAGTAACGGACAAACAGAAGTAGTATGTCATGGTGCTGACTCATTGTTGAGTACAGGAATTACAGTGATATAGTGGTTAGTGCCCTTGCAGACAGTGATCATGCTGAGATGTGATCACTGGGACCTTGTGACTCATATGTTGTCAACATATCTTATAATACCCTGTCTCAAGATACATATGTGATCAACATATCTTATAATACCCTGTCTCAAGATTCATATCTGGTCAACATATCTTATAATACCCTGTCTCAAGATTCATATGTGATCAACATATCTTATAATACCCTGTCTCAAGATTCATATGTGATCAACATATCTTATAATACCATGTCTCAAGATTCATATCTGGTCGACATATCTTATAATACCCTGTCTCAAGATTCATATATGGTCAACATATCTTATAATACCCTGTCTCAGGATGCATGTGTGGTCAGCACATCTTATAATACCCTGTCTCAGGATGCATATGTGATCAACACATCTCCTCATACTGTGGCCTTTGGACTCATATATAATCAGCATATCTGATAATGCCTGGCCTCAAGACCGATGTAATCCATACACATCATCACGTTGCAGCCTCACATGTAATCCTTGAAATCCTTCAACATTACTAGATTACTACCACTGTCTCATTATTTATTATTTTTTTTTCAAGACTGGCATGTGGAATAGTGGCAAGAGCTTCAGGGTTGTTCCAGAATTCCAAACGTTTCTGTGCTTGCGATGGAGTGACTATCTGGGAGCAACGACATAAGGACATTGAAAGTGGCAAGCTTTAATTCTTTCTTTGTTGCCTTATTTTCATACTGACTGTTGAACTATAAAACAACATTGTATGTGTGTCTAGTTTTAGAAGAAATTATTGATGCTACATTATGTCTAAATGATATTCTTTGAATGTTTTTAAGTGAAGGAGACACTGAGAGATCTTATGTAAGTGAAGGAGACATGAGATAATTTTTGTAAGTGTTTTTAAGTGAAGGAGACATGAGATAATTTATTTAAGTGTTTTCAAGTGATGGAGACATTGTGAGAGGTCTTATGTAAATGTTTTCAAGTGAAGGAGACACTGAGAGATCTTATGTAAATGTTTTCAAGTGAAGGAGACACTGAGAGATCTTATGTAAGTGTTTTCAAGTGAAGGAGACATTATGAGATAATTTATGTATGTTTTCAAGTGAAGTTATGAGCGATCTTATGTAAATGTTTTCAAGTGGAGACATTATGAGAGATTTTATGTAAATGTTTTCAAGTGGAGACATTATGAGAGGTCTTATCTAAATGTTTTCAAGTGAAGTGAAGTAATATGTTCAAAACCTCAAGTGAAGGAGACACAGAGAGATCATCTGCAGGTGTTAGTTTTCAAGTGAAAAAGATATTCTTTTTTAGTTTTCAGAAGCTGAATGTGAAATCATCTGGTGATTATCAGTAATTTGTAGCTTCTGAGAGGCATTGGGGCTAAGCAAAGTGACTTCAGCTGGATTTCCCAGTTCTATTTTTGGCCTGGTTTTATCTTTACAGTGTGTTTGGCGATCAGTATTGTAATTCCCCGAGATTCCCTCTTCTGTTGTCTCACCCCTCTCTCTCTTCCCTCCCTCTTTCACTCTTCTACCTATAGCTCCTTCCTTCCCGTCTCCTGCATTGTCTCTAACCCTCCCTTCTGATCTTCTTCTCTTTCTCTCTATCTTTCCTTTTACTCTCTCATTTCCTGTCTCCCCCCCCCCCCCCCCCCATTTTTCCTATTTTATTTCTTGTTTAAATGTCTAGTAAATGTGGGGTGGGGGGGGGGCGTGAACATGGTGAATATTTTCTTTTGATGTGTTTGTTTTCTTAGCGGGCCTTAATCTCCCTTCCTGCCCCCTCACCTTTTGTCCTACCTGTTCCTCACACTCTGCCTGTCTGTCACTGCTTTCCTCTCTCTTTCTCTTTGTATTTTTCACTCTCCCTCACTCCCCCCCCCCCCCCCCTACTATCTCTCCCTCTCTTTCTCCATACCTTCAGTTGGCGTAGAAGTTTATGTGTTGCCTAGTGCAGAATATTTCATGTCCACCATTCCCCCCTCCCACACATTAAATATATGTGTACTTTTGAAAACACATTTGCCGTCACCCCACCCCTTCTCCTCCCACATTGATGACACCTAGGGGAGGGGGTGCACCCCTTCCTGCTACCTTCTTCCCTCTATATCTCATCTTATTTCTTACTCCCTTCTCTCTCTCCCTGACTCAGTCCCCACTTTATCTTCTTAAACTTTATTCTCTCACCTTTCTCACCTCCTCTGTCTCACCCTTACCATCTCAGCCTTCTACACCACCTTCCACCACCTCCTCTCCCCCTCCTTTCTGTAATTGGAAAACCAGAAATAAAACGGAAGTCCACTGGTGCCCTGACCTATTTGTGTGTGTGTGTGTGTATGCGTAACCTGCTCTATTTTCCACCAGTGGTGGGTTGGGATCCCCTGGACTTTTTTCTTCATAAAATGAGCTTGGCTCTCAGGTCACCAGCCTTAAGTGTAAGAAATTGAACTATTGTTGTCACAGCAGATAGGACAAGCACGGGGCAGTAGGGGTTAGCACTGTTGTTTATGGACCACGGCCACATTCACATTGGGAGAGGGTAGGAACCGGAAAAGTGGCCTCACTTAGAGATTTCCTAATTCTATTTTTGGCGCTCAGTGTTCTTATTGCCCCCCCCCCCCCTCCCATACAACCGTGTCTTACCTCTCTTCTCTCATCCCTTCTCTTTCCTTTGATCTTCCACTATTCTCCTTTCTCTCTCTCTTCCTTTCCTTGCTCTGTTCTCTCTTGCTCTTTCTCCTGTCTCATCTCTTCGTCTCCTCTCCATCCTGTCTATTCATTTTTTCTAGATTTCCTTACCCTCTCCCCTTTCTCATTCTCTCCCCTCCCCTCATTTTTTTTTCTGGTTCATCTACATATGTTTTTTGCCCCATAACTATCTTTTCCTAGTGCTTGTGTCCACTACACTTGAAATTGTGTCGGGGGTATGGGTGGGGTTTCAGCACGAGGCTGTTTTTTTTTTCTTTGAAGTATCTTGTCTCCCCTCCTGAGCCTCTCTTAATCTGTCGTTGCCTTACTTTCATCAGGGCAGAGATCATGAACAGTAGATGCAGTAGCTGTTGTGACTTATGTCTGTCTGTCCTTGCCTTACTTTCATCAAGGCAGAGATCATGAACAGTATATGCAGTAGCTGTTGTGACTTATGTCTGTCTGTCCTTGCCTTACTTTCATCAAGGCAGAGATCATGAACAGTATATGCAGTAGCTGTTGTGACTTATGTCTGTCTGTCCTTGCCTTACTTTCATCAAGGCAGAGATCATGAACAGTATATGCAGTAGCTGTTGTGACTTATGTCTGCTGCACACAGTTGAAGAACAAGCGTGCATACAACTGCAAGATAATTGAGTATGTTTCAACAAAGATGTGTGGAGACATTTTAATGTATGTAAATGGACTGAAATGGTAATTCACTTGTGTACAATATGGATTGCCAGTCTTAACATACAGCTGTGAAGCCTGGACAGTTAATGAACAGGCCGCAGAGATGTGGTTTTACTGAAGAATCTTTAGAATTGAATTCCCTGGACAGCTAAGAAGAGCAACCAGATGTTTTGAAGAGGGGAATGCTCAAAGACAACTTATCGCAAACATCAGAAAGGACAGTCATCATTTTTTGGTCATGTTATGAGAAGAGGGAAAATGGAACATGTGACCACAGAAAAGATTTGTGGACAGAGAGACAGGGGAAGACAACACATGAAGATTCTTGACAGCCTTTTGTCATGGCATGGAGGGTGTCAACACATGAACTGATACACGCAGTTGCAGATCGCAGATTGTGAAGAGGCATGATCACCCATGCCAATTGGCGAGGCACTTGATGATGATAATATTGATTTTTGGTTTTATAATAATTGTTTTGGTTCTCTGTGTCAAGTAACTGAAGTCTAAATGATTGAGATGTGAATACTGTTTCCTGTTTCATCACAGTGATTGGGATGTGAAGATAGATGTTGTGAAGACTCATTTTTTTCTGTCCGTCTCTATAAGCAGACTTTTTTTGTCATTTGTCTTGCAAAATATCATGTACAGTCTGATATCAGCCTTTGTGGTAAAATGATCATAGAATGGCAGGCATTATATTCCAGGCCACTTCAATTTTTTTTTTGGGGAAAGGGGGGGGGGGGGGGTTATAAATTTCTAATTGTGGCCAAAAGTATCTAGACAGCGATCTTGGGTACATTTATTTGATTGATATTTGAACTAGTGTGTGTGTTTTCCCTCTGCCACATATACTGTGCATTCACCAAACCAGACAATTAACCAGGCTGTTATCATATAAACAACACCCCAGGAAGGCTAACTAGGTCAACAAATGCCTGCAGAAGTTGAATGTGTTGGCTGAAAGGTGCAAATATCACAGCCATGCTGTAAACGGGCACAACACAATTACATCTTCAGATAAATGCAGAAGACATACCAGGACATTTATAATTCCAGGGATATGTGTGATAATTGTAAGTTTCTGCTGTGTTACCCGCAGTCTGTATTGTTGTCGCTACAATAAGCTATCTACAATGAAAATTGCAGCAGAAGATGTGACTGAAAGGAAAGACAAGAACTTTGAGAACACACCCATGTTAAAATCATGAATGGCAGCAACTCTTCTTAACTAGCAACTAGCCATTTTGATTTCCATCATAACATCCCTTCTTTGTTTATTCATAGGAAACAACCTAAAATGAACACTGCATGTTCAGCCAAACTAGCTCATACTTAATTAATGTGATGTGCTTTCAGTCACAAAACAAGCAGAAGGCAATTAGTCAAGAGTATAGATTTTTCAGTGAGCAGGAATAGTGACGCCTGTTTCAAATCCTAGATGTTTTGGATTAAATATTTTATTTTGATGGTAAGCTGCACTTTAGTATTACAAGTATATTAATATTGTTTACTGTCAAAAAAATCCATGGCATCTGTCTTTGGAAAGTTGATTGTGATTTAAAAAAAAATATACACCACAGTCGTCTTCTTTATTGGAACTGCTTTCAAATTAGGCAGATTGCATTTTTTTTTTATTGTTCACTGTGTTTAAATAGCTGATTGATGTTATCAGTTGGCTAATTTCCATTTGTTCCTGTTATAATAAAGAATGTCATTTGCTAGTAATTTGTTAAAAGATGAGCATTTTCATATGGACGTGGCATAGAGTTGCCAGTTAGGTTTTTTTTGTTCATCATCAACTCTGTGTATCATTGGGTCACCAGTTGCTATTGACTGATCAGCTCCCTTGACCCTCAGTTGCAATGGACTTGATGGTTGCATGCCTGTCCAGGCAGTCAGGTTCTGTATCCAGATCTGTCTTTGTCTGCCTAGAACACTTTGCTGACCGGTGCATTACTGTCTCTCATTACCTAGGCTGTGTGGAGATGATTTTTGCTTCTTCAAAATGACTGCTTTTCTAATAAAATTCATTTAACAAAATTAAAAAGAGTGTAGGGTTTTGAAACCTTGAGAGCACCATTATGAATGGTTGCTACACATGAACAAGATATATTATGGAAATATATAACAAGATCATGGTGGTCATCTGGAATTTGTATGGCTATTTATGTAAATTCCAGGAGATGTTTTAAAACCATAATTTTTTTCCCCAGTTTTTAGTGAATTTGTTCAATGTGCAGTGAAATGTTGGGAGCATGGTTAACGATGAATAAAATAAGCTCAATAGGATTGACCAAATTTTTCAACATTGAAAGCTA